TTTCTTTTTGTAACCTCTGCTGGATCAAAACTGCGTTCTTCTATTTTATGGTCACGCAGGCTGTCCTTTGTTCAGCATTGGATCTAGCAATGGAGAAAAAACGGGAGATTGTATGGAGCCTATGGGACATTGTAATCGCCCTCTCACTGCCCTATACAACTCTTTTATGTGCATCACCGCCATAAACTTAATCAACAAAATTTAGTTTACTCAGAATTTCCACAGAAAGCTGCCAGTTTTGAATCCATTCTTGCTAGGATTACTAGCCAATAGCTAACTCTAATCAAAAAAGAACTCAAGAAAAAATTGAGATCAGGACTAGAATCTGTTAAGGCTCCGATTTAGAGCAAAAAAAAATAAATCTTGGGGGCTTGAGGACTGTGACTTTATCTGAAGTTTCAACTGAGGACAGAGAAAACATAGTGGTTTGCATATACAAACTGAGAAAACTGAGTAAAATTGGTCTGACAAACTTAGCCTCACGAATTACTAGTTAGTTATGCACCGACTAATTATTTTTTTTTAAAATAGCCAGAGCTCTTGTTTGAGTTTATTGAGTTTTAAATTAGTAAAAACTTGAGCATATAAATTTTTTTAAATGCATTTTCATCTGACTTTGGAATAGTCTGGTCTCAACACTTTTTGGTAAAATTTTGCCACATTGGGCTATTTGACCATAATAAAGAGATTTTGCCTGAGATCGATCGATTATTGATCAATCCCTAAAATTTTATAAGCATATTTTTCTGTGTCATACACCAAATAGCTTCATACTAATCTATTGCAATGTTTGCAAGAAAACGTTGAGTTGATCAGTAGCCTCCGTTCAGTAGCCCTCTCCTCAATTCTGATTGCCAATTTTTCCACCTTTCTTAATTATTTACCTCGGCCTTTTCTTGTAGACCCAGCTTAAAGTTTTTTTTGAAGAGACTAAAGTTTATTATACAGTGAAGTTGAGGGGGAGCGCGCCTCAAAAAACCGCAAATTTTTATCAGAATCTTCACAAAATTGGTCAAAAACGTTTTTTTTTTGCTAATATATTGCCTTCCGCGCTGAAAATTTTGCTAAATATGGTCATTAAAAATTTTCATGTTTTTATTCCCAAGAACAATTGTTGCAAAACGATAGCGAAAAAAAGTCCTATTTTTGGATGTAATGAAAGAGTAATTGTTCATACTTATGATTCCATGCGCACTGAGACGTAGAGTCTTGTGGCAAGAAGAGCAATTGGAGACAGATTTTAAGATCCAATTTGCAGCTTAACTTGACACCGAACGTCAGTCAAATTAACCACACTGTCGGTTTTTTCAACACGCTTTTCTCTCTTCCAACCGTCGTTGATTGGCATGTTAGAAAATAATTGCATACTTGGTCAGTTTGTGGGAGAAAATGGCTCTATTATAAGCAGAAAAAAAATAATTTATTATACCAAGAGACTGTCATCAAGATCCAATATGTTCAACACTTAAAGATAACAAACCAGTTTTACATTTAAAAAAAATTTTGGCCCAACTTTGAGGTGATTTATTAAATTAGTTCAAAATAAATAGAGTAAATGATAAAAAAACACTGCGTGATTAACTTTTATTTTTTTTAAGGAATGGCGGATCTCCCAAAGACACAGGGGCGGATCTCCCAAAGAACTAACAAGACCCTGTTTTGGCCAAATTTTTTGCGCCGCAGGCAATATTTTGAAAAAACACGCCAAAAAGGCGCTTGTAGGCAGTTTTTGGAAAACTTTGACCAAAAAGTCGCGTTTTTTCGGTGCGCGCTCTCCCCTCAAAATTAGTATATATTGGTGCCAAAGACGCGTTTAGAAAATTTTTAGGGTCCGAACCAAAAATGCATATCTCAAAATAGTGCAAAGGAGAAAAAAGGTACCTGAAGGGGAAAAACTAGAGATAATAGAAAAAATGAATGATTTTCAAGGTTTTCATGATTCCATCTTTGATTAATTAGCTTATAAAACTTCAATTTTGTTGAAGTTAATTTGCCGTATGAAGATTACCCACAAAATTTACCCACGGCATTCCTTTACCTTAAAAAATTTCCCTACTTTCGATATTGAATAGCTTTTTGTAAGTTATTACTTCCTTCAAACAAGTAGACAAAATCAACTTTTCTTTAAAAAAAGCACGAGTATTCTCTGATTATTAAAAGTTTTTTTTTGGAGTTCAATGATTGGCTCGCCCGTCAAAAAACCTTTTGATAAGTTCTAATAATGAATCAATGAGATGTTCAACATAGAAGAAATATGTTTTTCTTGTTCTGAATCTTGAAATCTAAGAACTACTACTTTTGCTCAGCTGAATTTCAGTCAGGAAAACCAAAAAATCAGTCAATTGTTTCATTAAAAGACCAAACTGGCTAGGGGCACGATTTTATGTCTATATGGTTCTGGATTCAGATACAAGAATATAAACATTTAAAATTTTTGTCGAGTGATCTAAGAAAATGAAAGAACAAAGAGAGCATCATTATTGCAAAATCCTCTTAAAATTCACAAAATGCAGTTTGACATCGTAATGTTTGATATTGATTTTTTGTCCAGTTTACGGCCAAAAAATAATAGAAGGACAGCCGTTTACTGTTCAAGCAGCACAGAATGTTCCGACCATAGTCTTAATAGAAGTTTTTTTTTTCAAAAGTGTCGTTTTTGTGTTTTGGTGTCACAGTATGATCTGAATGAAAGAATAAAAAAATTAGGTATTTAGGACAGTCATAGTCAAATAGACAAATTGGAAAACAGTTTTTGTAGAAAAATGGCTAGAAAGGGAAAAAATCTTTAAAAAACTTTATAACTTATTGCAGCAATCGCTTGAATTTTTGAAGTTTTAGTTTCCTAAAAGTGAGCTAAAAGCTCCAAAATCTATTTTAATTCTAGTAAAAATAACTGTTCACGACTTAATTTAATCTTAAAAAAGCAACTGTAAGCCTGCACGCTCATTTAATTAGCTCGAAATTAGATCAAAAATCAAAACTTTAAAACGGTTCTTCTCTTCATTGAGAAAATTTTTACGTAGTTTTTTTTAGTACATTGGCTGACTTTTAAAAATTATCAATTTTTTTATTGTTTTAGAATACAAAATACACATAAAAAATAGCGTTAAAATCTGATCATTTTTTGGAGAATACGTCAGCCCAAATGTTTCTCAAAAGTTATATAAAAAAGAGTTACAATCAAGTATTAACTATATCTACAATTCTAAGCGGTATATATGCTGCACTGTGTTTTTTTTTTCAATACGAAAAGTTTTAGAATTGTTTTACTCTGTCTTTTCTGTTAATAGCTACTTCGATATAGCTGTTTTTCATATTTATTCTTTAGGTTATTCACTAGTCGCTATAGACCGATATGTTTACCAATATTTTGCAAATATGTTTAACAAAAACTTCTTGGTGTTATCATACTTAGCCGTTAGGGGCAAAAAACTACGTAATGGTAGTCTAAGGAGAGGGTATTGCGGACCAAAATGATTTTACTAAAGTTTTTGAGCGGAATAGTAACCAGTTTTACAAAAAAAAAAGAAAAGCTGCACTTCGAAACCCGAAGTGAAAAAATTTTCGAAAAAGCTTTCAATAAGCTATGGAAAAGAATAATAAAAAACAGTAAATAAGCCTTAAAACTGAAAAATTTTACCTGTTTCCAAAAATGAACCGTCAGCTAGAAAACTAGGCGTGTCACGTTATCACATCAGCGTTACAATCGCTTGACAGTAGGAAGACTCTAGCCATTAATCAAGCAGATAGAACAGAAACAGATGCTAATTAATTGCCAAGGTTATGATTCAAAAGTATTACCGAATTAGTACTGGTAAATTACGAGGCCAAACTGTTCACTGGATAAGCGCACAGTTTTGTGTCTGTATGCTCCTGGATTCCATAGACAAGTCTTTGAACATGTTAAAATTTTGTCGGAACGATCAAAGAAAATGAAAGAACAAAAGAAGATCAAAGGGAGCGTCCTTGTTGCGGAATCCGCTTACAATGCACATATTGCACAGTTTGGCCTCGTGATGTATTTGCGAGCTGGGTTTTTAAAAAAAATCAGATTTTGTAGTTTAACTTTACGATCGGTAGCTCGCTGGTATTGAGCAAGGTAGTTGCCCACGGGTTTTTAGGGCACCTAAATTTGCAAGAGAGCTGTCCAACTTTGGACAAAATTTCCTTCTAAAATGTAAGATCATAAATCAAAAAGTTTTCTTTGTAATTTTTTTGTTTCGTATGGAAAATGGCCTTGTCAAAAAACTCAAGTAATCTAAAATGCGAAAATTTAGTCGTTATAAACTAACATCGTAAAATCTTTTGGTTTGTTATACATCAACCATTCACCAAAATATGTACTCTCAGTTTATGGTTGAAAGGATTCTTACGATACATCACTAGGAAGCTTGAAACGTTTCTTTGAGTTACCTTATTTTTTGCCGAAAACAATCAAGCCACCTCTGCTTCTATTCTGAATCCCAATATTTTCCATTCTCCCTCTGCTACTAACTTACGACAACTATTTTTGGCTGACTAGCCGCAACAATATTTTTATAGGTGCCGTCGCATGAATAGAAGCCCAAATTCTGTTTTGAAATGTGAGAGCACGCCAAAAAATGGTATTTTTTGTTTTTGAAGTCTTTCACAAAAAGCTAAACAACTACTATTTCTTCAAAAATCTGCAAAATGGGGTTTTTCTGGTTATTCAGCGTAGCTTGAGAAAATTGAAATTGTTAACCAAAAAAGGTCATAATATTTCAGAAAAAATTGACCCCCTCCTCAAAAAACTGCTCCGCAAGCCACTTACTTGTTTAAATTTCTAAGGTTGTCTTTTCCATCATTAAATATACTATAAATCTGAACAATTGTTGTTTGTGTAAGCTTTTTAGTTGCTTTCAAGTTTGCGAAAAAACCAAAAACTCAAGTTACAACATACTGCTGCCTGAATATTTATTGATAGTGGCTCTAAAAAGATCAAAGAGATTATTGATATCATATGTGTTTAATGTTTTCAGCTTTAGAAGACCATCTCCGCCGCTGATTGAGTACTGCTGTCCTTCAAACAACCTCTGGTCAGTTTTACACACTTTTACACAGCTCTGATTACTCATCTGGGTTGCATCAAACTACATATTGAGAGGCAAACGGATTTCTTCTAAATGGATCAAGCCAAACTAATACGTAATGTGTCTCGAAGATGTGTCTCAACACTTAGCCCTGTTCTAATTCTTATCGCAAACTCGGTCAGTCAATCATACCTCCAAAATTACTCCAAAACAGCTTCTTGGAGAGTTCAAATCAACTGTTGTGCTGACTTGTTTTCAGATTAATTCTGCTTTAATCCGCTCGTGTTTTCTGTTATTCTGAATTACTAGCGATACTAAATCTGTCACTAGAAAGCACAACTACATTTTACACTGGTTTGAAAACTTTGTTTTAATTTAGTTTCAGTTTGGGTCTATATTTAAGCGCTGGTCATTCATAAAAACTAGTTCAAATAAGCCGGACTTTAGTTTAAACAGAGTTTTAACCCACCGGAGAACTTAACTCCAAACAATTTGCCAATCCATCGAAGTTAGTTTTACGGTTTAACAGCCAAAAACTGGTGGAAACTTTGCAACAACAGGATTAACAAGAATAAATTGTAACTATTAAGACGCTCTTTTGCCCAACAACCTGAAAGAATTTAAGATAATATTACGTTTGACTCAGTGACCGTTGTATTTAATTGTGGGCATATTGTTATTATTCCATTACTTCTGGAGTTTCTTTTCCTTCCGCAGTACCTTAAATTTCTCACACTTTCTTTCAGTAAGCATTCAAAAACATCGAGCAACCATCGCCCTTGGTTGTCACTTGTTGACAGCTACTGAAGTTACTTTTGTTATCCTCCCTTGAACCCATTCACAAGTCTCTATCGCAACCGTTGGCCAGATCTGCTCAAGTCTAAATCTATCATCTATGCGTCTGGTTATAACTGAACGACATACTCTCCCATCACAACCATCCAATCCCACCTCCAACGTTACAGTTCCTTAAAAAATCTAGGAGCGTTTTCCTAGTTACACACAGTCCAAAATTCACACCGTCCAAAATTTACTCATTAATCAAAATTTTTAAATATCAATAAACACTTCACACTTATTGCTTCTACTAATAAAATTTTCTTTTGAATTATTTTTCAAATTTTTGATAATTATTCGATAAAACTTAATTGCTTCCAAAAATTGCTAATTAGTTGCATATTCAATTTATCCTGTCGTCGCAATGTCGGAATCCAAAGACACTGGTGGCGATGTAGACAAAGAAAAGCAGTCCAGCGAAAGTCAAGGAGGTGAGAGGGAGTCATGGGGAGGAAAACTCGACTTCATCCTGTCGTGCGTCGGCTATGCTGTCGGCCTCGGCAACGTTTGGCGATTTCCCTATCTTTGTTACAAAAACGGCGGCGGAGCATTCCTCATTCCCTATGGAATCTCAGTTATCTTTATGGGCATCCCGCTTTTTATGCTCGAGGTATCAGTAGGTCAGTTCATGTCCATAGGAGGCTTAGGAGTTTGGAAATTATGTCCGATCTTCAAAGGCGTAGGATGGGCGGCGGCAATCGTAGCGTGCTGGTTGAATGTTTATTATATAGTAGTGATAGCTTGGGCCCTTTACTATCTATTTAACTCTTTCACAACTAATCTCCCTTGGGCTAGATGTGACAACGAATGGAATGACGAAAACTGTATCACTGGAAAAGAAACAGCAGCTATCATGCGAAACCAGTCGTCGGCGAACAAATCATTAAACTTAGTTCCCGCAGTTCAGCAATACTGGTATCGGAAAGTCTTGGATGAGAGCTCTGGAATTGATGAGCCCGGAATCTTAAGATGGGAACTTGCCATCACGTTGTTCATTGCTTGGCTTCTTTGCTACTTCTGTATTTGGAAAGGAGTAAAACAAACCGGAAAAGTGGTTTACTTCACAGCTCTGTTTCCATACGTAGTTCTCACAGTTCTTCTAGTCCGAGGCTTAACGTTAGATGGCGCTCTCGACGGTCTGGAGTTCTTCCTGAAACCAAACATGACCAAACTCCTGGAACCCAACGTATGGATGGATGCCGGATCCCAAGTCTTCTTCTCGTACGGTGTGGCTCTTGGATCTCTGATTGCTCTCGGAAGTTACAATCACTACAACAACAACTGCTATAGAGACGCAATGATTGTCGGTTGCATCAACTCATGCACGAGTCTATTCGCGGGATGTGTGATTTTCTCAAATCTTGGATACATGGCCTGGTATCAGGGGAAGAACGTCTCCGATGTCGCTCAAGAAGGTCCTGGACTCTTGTTTCAAGTATACCCGGAAGCCGTAACTCTAATGCCGCTTTCACAAGTATGGTCGGTCATGTTTTTCTTTATGGTCTTGCTTCTGGGGTTGGACAGTCAGTTTTGCACGGTCGAGGGTTTCATTACAGCTATGGTAGACGAGTACCCCAGGTACCTTCGTAAGTACCGACCTCTATTCATAGGCTTAGTATGTCTGCTGTCCTATGTCGTCGGAACTAGTTGTATCTCACAAGGAGGTATTTATATGTTCACACTCCTCGATACATATTCGGCCAGTGGTTACAGTCTGCTATGGCTTGCGTTCTTCGAGACTGTCTCGATTTCATGGGTTTTCGGAGCAAACAATTTCATCTCATGTCTCGAACATATGATAGGTTACCGTCCTCACATCTGGTGGAAAATATGCTGGTTCGGCCTGACCCCTGCTATGATTGGCTGTATCTTTATTTTCACTCTTCTGAAGTACGCATCACCGAAATATGGCGACACTTACAAGTACCCAGGATGGGCTGAAATCATGGGCTGGTGTATGGCTCTTTCCAGTATGATGGTCATACCGCTCTACGCGTTTTTCAAGACTCTTTTTGCGCCCGGGAATTCCCTCCGGGAGAAACTGCGCCACGTAACTACTCCAACTCCCGAGATCCAGGCGAGACTCAATGAAATTTTGAACGGAGCTGTTCCATCTGATGCTGCGAATGGAATGAGTTCAGATTCTACTCCCAAAGCAGGTCATGCAGAAACAGCAGCTTAGAAATTTACACAAAAAAATTAGAAAATAATTCATAGTCCTTTTCCTAAACGCTGAAAGAACAGTGACACTTCATCGGTCACGATCTGTACGCACCTTCAAATATTCAGTGCAAATTAAACGTTTTATAGTTGATTTAGTTATGATACATCTGACTTTACAGACAGAAAATCTTGCATTTCGTTTGAGCTATTTCTATTCTGCTTACTTTTAGTTCTTTGTGGTTTACAAAAAACTTACTCCAGCAAACTTTCGACCGCACCTGCTCTAACCCAAAACAACCATTGTAGTGCTGTTTCTAATCATTTATTTCGATTATTATGATGAATACTTATAACGATATGATTGATTATTATAATGACTCCCTCCAATCCGTTCTACCCCGTTTTTGTCAAAGTGATTAGATTTCATTTGATGAAACTTATTCCATCCACACAACTCCATCCCCTCATCGCAAAGACTATTATAAAATTTGAATCTGCAATTTCGCAATTAATTTTCCACTAATGACAAGATGCTGCCCTTTCATTTAGATTATTGAAATTGCTGGCGAGTTGAAATAATTTTTATAACAAAATGGTTTGTATTTAGATACCGACAAAATTATTACATATACGCCTCACTGGTGGTCAAAAAACTTAAGCCATTTCCAGCGCCATTGGTTTAAATTTTTAAATTATGGAACCTAAATTTTATTATTATGGAACCTAGATTATGCAATCTTTGGAACCGTTTGTTTAAAATAATCAAGTTTGAGTTTTTGTATCAGTAGCTGTATTATCTACTTGATTTAGTTAGAGCAAGAAATTTCGAAAAATGTTTGAAAAGCCACATGATGATTTCATTTTTTATTAGTATCGCAACTATTTATCGATATTTTGTATTTCAAAGCCATTGTAATATATCCAATTTGCTATCACTCATTTTGTATACGTGTTATATTTCTTTTTTTTATTAAATAGTTTTTCTTCTGACCATTATTCACGAATCCTATGAGAAGCTATATTCATAACAGATGAACGGCTCACAGATGAACATCTACTTATGTACAAACGTAATGACCACTTTTTTTATAGCTTACCGGATCATTTAAAAATAAATTCCGATAAATGACAAAATGTGAATGAAAAAATAAAAGAGCTGGTCAGGCAAAAAAATTAGCAAGTAGCACAATGTTCCGACTATATTGAACATAGCCAACTGAGAGTTGGAAAAGAGTAATGAAAGCAAGTAATAGAAAAAAAATTGACTTTGTTAGAAAAAAATCTCGAATTTCAAAGAAAAAAATAGATGCCCTTTAAGCTCTTTGAATTTTTAGAAAATATTACGATTGGCACTTTTCTGATACCACTAACCCAATTTGAGAAAACTAGATCAATACTTAAATTTTTTATTCCGCTGTAATTCTAAAAATTCAATTCCACTTTCGAAACTAGAAATCGTTCGCGTTTTTTCTCGCCATTTCCACGCTCGTATTTGGAGAGTGCTCTTTACGACACTTTCAGCAGATGAATTTCAATTGAACACAAAAAGTGGATATATACCTAAATTCATTCATAAATGCATTAATATGTGTGAATGCAAAACTATAGTTATAAAAGAATTTTAAAACTTTTTCCGAATAAAAAAAAATCACCAAGATCTATATAAGAGTCTTCACTACGTTCATTACTCCTATAAAATAAAAAAAGTTTTATTTTTACTTTTCTTCAATTTAGTGGTGTTTATAGTGGATATTGTAATTCGAGAACTATACTATCGCCTAGCAAATTAGTGAATTTAACATGATCGACAACATTTTTTTTTCAAAAAATTAATAACGAAACAAAAAATGAAAAATAAACATATTTTTTCCGGCTTTTAGCACAATGTAAAGTGTTTTTTGCCTATTAAGCGATAAATGAAACATCCCAACCTAATTTTCTATATAGTAAAATCACGTTTATTACCCTAAAAGTCTATACGAAGCTTATTTGCATATGACGAGCGTAACTCGCTCGAAATTAGACAATCTCAAAAACTTCCAACCAGTTTTTCTCGACATGGGGGCAATTTTTTGTAAACTTTTTAATGTCATTTGTTCGAATCACGACTTAAAGGGTTTTGTTATGACATATCACTCGACCCATTCCGATGATAATTTGTGGTACCTGATTTTGCGTGGCACAAAAAACTAAAACACGCCCGAATACTCAGAACAAGGATAGCTGGTTCCTGTGCAACTAGCCCAGAGGATAACGAATAAAATTTTTTGCTCAAAGCATGAACTTTTCTAGCTTCAAAATTTACATAAAAGCAAAAAATTGAATTTGAAACCAGATTTTCTCGTCTAATGAAACTTGTTACAAAGTTATTAATGGCGCTCGAATCACGGCATAAAGGACTTTAATATGATTTATCACTCAATTAAATCTGATGATTATTTGTCGTACCTGATTCTGCCAAGGAAAAATTGATAAAAAACAAAGTCAACATTCAGTTGGAAAAAGTCAATGAACGCAAAGAGAGAAAAAGCGAACTTTTTTTTGAAAAACTTCAATTTCGAAATTCGAAGTAGAAAATACAGGAACTTAAAATTCTTTTAAATTTAAGAACCTCTTACGATTGAAAACTTTTGATAAAATTATCTCAAAATTATCTTTTTTGATGAAATCATCTCAAAATTAACTTTTTGAGAAAACTGGATCAATAGGTAAAGTAATTTTAAAAATTGAAATCCACGTTCAAAACTAGAAATCGAGCAAATTTTCCGTGACCTTCTCACTTTTGCTGTTCGACAGGAGTTTGCTCTCATCTTAACAAAGGTAATAAACTGAAGTTAAGAGAAATCAAAATTCGAACCGCGAAAAGTCAAGTATGAATTTTAAGACTTTTTCCTACAAAAAAAATTCAAAAAACAAACAAAAAATCATTATTAAGGTGTATCAAGCAAACGCTATAAATTGCCAATGCTAACCAGCACAGTGAACTCTAAGATGAGCAGTATTTTATGAGAAGTAGATTCGAAACAGGTAGATTTGTAGATACTGAAATTGAACGCTAAAATTTTCAATTTAGGTAGGAAAAATTGAGCTCGGTTGTACAATGAAAATTATTTCTTTCAAATTTAAACAAAATTATCTCAATAGAGTCCACTTTATTTCAAGGAAACCGTAATATAATTTGAACTCAGTGTTTGTTGAAAGTTCATTGAGTTTAATCTGTGCTACTTGCGCGATCTCTCTATCTTCCATCTTTGTATATTCTTAATTGAGAGAGACATGTATCTTGCCATTTTAAAGCCAACTTAACATGTTTACACTTTCGAGCTATAGCTAGCGTAGTGTAATAGTGTGACCTAATTTCTTTTTTTCCAACCTAAGTTCTTTTTCCAACCTAAGTTTTTTTTCCAAACTCAATGAACTTTCAACAAACACTAAGTTTTGTATAGTTTTTTAACACATTTTTCTTCCGTTTCTATTCTTTAATAGTACTGCCAGCAACAAAATTGGTAGAACTGCAATCAACATCATTGTACTTCCTCACTTTCCTCATTTACTTCTGCTTCACTTATTGAGGGACAAGCACTTGCTATTTGTTCGTTGAATGACAGAACACCAGCTTTCGACCAGCAGTCCTATTTGGGCAGCATAAGAAGTCAAAATTTTTCAAAGTTACATTGAAACACATTTTCAATTTCAATACTCAAAAACATGTTAGCTTACATCGCTGAAACTGAACTGTTAATGTGAGAGATATTAAAACAAACTTGAAACTCAACTTTTATTGATTAAGTTAGAACATCGTTAAAAGAATCATAAAAATGCCAGTGATGACATCGAAAAAATAATTTCGCGTAGTAAAGTACCTAAATTGAGTCACACAACACTTATCCGATTGGCATTGACCTATATAACTACAGCATGGGAATCAAACTTAGAAGCGATACACGACAGCGACGAAATGATGACAAACGGCATAATGTTCAACCAGAGACCAGCATCCTTATGGCGGAAAAGTTCATCAACATCCAGTTTTTGGTCCCATTCCCACAGTTCTACTTGAAATTCATAGAAGAATACAAACTCTATTCGGAGCAACTAAGCGAAATGTGGACTATGCAAAGTCTATTTTGCGAGCTAGATTTCTAGACCAATTTCAACAAAAACAATTTTTTCTTCCGTGGATTGGTTGCTTCGACAATTGGAAAACGAAACAACCTTCGTCCAAAGAGAACTGAACAAAATACAGAGCGAAACAGAAGACTTCCTCAACCCCAAAAAAGAAACATTCAATGGAAGGCAGAAACGAGCGTTACCAGTAGCCGCATTAGCCATGGCATCCATTGGACTTTTTGGAGGTGTTCTCATGGGAGGAAACAATTGTGGATAAGCCGGAATTTTTGGAATTTGTCAGGACAAATTAAAAGAGAACGCAGAAAAAGTTTTTACGAATTGCCGATTTTGTAGAAGAAGTTACTGCTGATGTCCACACTAAGGCAAGATTCGGATAAGAAATTTTTTATGGTGAGTCGAGGCTTGTCTGAACTGAAAAAGCCACAGGACGAAACCATGAAGGTTCAAAATCAAAATGTAGAACAATCGAGGAACAGTTCGAGGTGTTCGAAAAGCAAATACACTGACTCCGCAACTGTGATCAACTGCTCTAATCTCAGCAACAGATAACTTTCAATTTTGATAGTTTCTCATCACTACTGGCAATGGCATTTACGAACATCAAAACGTATCGATCAGCCCTTTTTGCATACAATTTGAATCAATTGACATCCTAGCCAAAGAACAAGTGAGTTCACAAGATAGATTGTCATTAGCGAATCATCCAACAACAGAAAAACTGTCCTATTTTGAAGCGGAACTACTGAAGGACAGTTACGATTCGAGAAGGACTGCTAATGACATTAGCCATAACCCTTGCCAGCCGCCAAACAGCTTTTACAGTTTTTCGAGCATTTCTATTTCTGATACCTCAACCAGAACGAGAAATTTCACCTCGATGGAAAACAGAAGCACCGTTTTTGGCAATATCAGATCAAATTGAATCAACGCCGGTGACGAAAGACGAATTGGAGAAATGCATTGGATCCTTAACGTACCAAATATATCATAAAAATATTGCACACAGATGAGACAAGATTCATGCCTATCGACATTATACTTTGAAGGAACCATTGATGCCATGCAAATTTGTGAAACAAAAGAAGTCTTTCTACCGATGCGAGAACAAAAATTTAACCTTGGATACAGAGTTTCGCTTTTATTGTCATCAAATGAAGGCTATCCATTGATTGAATTGTACATTCTCAAGTCGGAAAACCCAGGAGTGCGCAAATTGAGAGGATCCCGAGTCGGAATTATCCCACTCGAATGTGGAAAGCAAATCATGGGTGACAATATAAAAATTCGAAGCGATCTAAGTGCCTGTGACAAAATCCCAGTAGTGAACGTAAAAGTAAGACTGCCTGACCCACTTAAGCACCTACTAAGCGTTTTTCCATCAATAAACGACATGCCGAATTATAACACACAAGCAGATGCGAGCATTGAAATGTTAAGACAAGTAAGAGAAAACTCAAATAATTACCAACATCGCCAACACTTAAAGATTAAGAGAATATAGCAGTTCCAATGGCAAACACCATGAAAAAACATTAACCCACACTTGACAACTTGAAAGATATCAACCTCTAAACATAAACCCACACCGACAATTTGAAAGTTATCAACCTCTAAAACAGTCTTTAATGATAAGCATTTTATCATTCATCGTCTTAACTGGACTCCAGGTACTTTTCTTCTTCCTTTATCATAAATTCGCTCATGTACAAAAAATGATATCATCCTTTCTGAAATCCGACCGAATCAGAAAGAAAAGATACAACTGGAGACTGTCGTGTTTAATGATGACACTAAAAACGATAAACTTCACCCCAGATCAATTGATTAATACTTGAATAAAACTGCTATTTTTGGTAAGCAGAAATTCAGAAAGCTACTTGACGTCGCAAATACTGAGGAATCCTCAATTGACCAAAACGAATACCCCAAAAGTTGTACTAAATCATTCATTGAAA